GTGTGTGTGTGTGTGAGTGTGTGACCTTGGTGCTCTCAGGAAACTCCTCAGGTGTGCAGTGCAGCAGGACGTCTCCTTTACCCGGCAGGTTCATGTAGATGCAGTTTGCAGCCGAATCATCTGGAAGCGTCAGCTTATCATATTTATGATCACTCATCTGCTGCATGATCTACACACACAGACATACAACACAAAAACTCAATACCATATATATATATAAATATAAAAATAAATATATACAGGTATATATATATATATATATATATATACACACACACACACACACGGTTTGAGTTAAAAAATCCCCGTTTGTGTTCTACTGAAGAAACAAAGTCACCTACATCTTGGATGCCCTGGGGGTAAGCAGATAAACATTACATTTTCATTTTTGGGTGAACTATCCCTTTAACACCTGAGATCACAATTCCTGCATGGATACGGGCCGGATTCACTTGTGATTAAACTCTGTGCTGACACGCATCCGAACTCTGAATCCCTGCTGGGAATCTGGGAATGAGCCAAAACAACACAGAAAGACGGACGGATAAAGTGGCTGCGGCGATAAGGAAACTTTGGCGCAACGTGACCGATTTCCATGACAATGTTTTTCACGTTTGAGCAGTTCAGTTATCCTGATCCCACCCAATCCAGGCATTCCGGTGCCAACTGTTGATCTGAATCTGGGCAAGAACCAGTGTCACAGAGCAGCCCGTTATCATTAGACACGGAGATCCAGCACTGGAGGAATGAAGCGCATTAGGGATGGAGCAAGACTCATCGTGTTTAACTGTTCACTGGTCATTATCAAGCCAAATTCATATTCTGGAACGTTAATGCATTTTTAAGCGTTTGCTCTCTGGGAATATGTAGCCATACTATTCCAAATGTTTGGAATATTATGAGTATCTTAAATGTTTTTGAAAGAAGTATCTTCTGTTCACAGAGGCTGCATTTATTTTACAAAAAAAAACCCACACGATCCTTCAGAAATCATTCTAATATTTATAATGTTACAAAAGATTTCTATTTCAAATAAATGCTGTTCTTTTGAACTTTCTGTTCATCTGTGAATCCTGAAAAATATAATGTGTCACGGTTTCCACAAAAATATTGTGCAGCACAACTGTTTTCAACAAGAAATGTTTCTTGAGCAGCAAATCAGCATATTAGAATGATTTCTGAAAAATCATGTGACACTGAAGACTGGAGTAATGATGCTGAAAATTCAGCTGCGCATCACAGAAATAAATGACAGTTTAACAGATATTCACACAGAAAACAGCTGTTTTACATTGTAATAATATTTCACAATTTTTACTGCATTTTTGATCAAATAAATGCAGCCTTACTGAACATAAGGGATGCACAAATATAACCATATGAATTATTACAGTTGTTGTAACTCTATTATGCTATTATATTTCCAGTCGCGCCTTGATTTTCCCAGTCGTTTGGATTTCTAAAAAGCATTTGATAGAGATTACATTTATAATAACTAATTTATATAAGATGACAAATGTGAAAAATATCCACTAACTGCTATATTTCCAGGTTTTCATGATTATTGCAGGAAACCCGGAGATGCACATACAAGCATTTTAGTGATTAAAACCTGTGACAAAAATCAATTCAGGGCAGCTATGACATTGGGTGTGCGTTCAATATTCAGTATTTCAATGATCTGCAGTTAATTATTTCCTTCTTAACTCTTTTAATTCCAGTTTCGATAAGCATCCTTTTGAATTTATGTGGCCGAAGATGAAGTTTACTATCATGCCTGTAGGTTTGCTGTGAACTAGCTCAGGTGTTGTTTTTTGGACACATTAAGGTGTGCTTATACCTTCAGGGCTTTCTGCGCGGCTTCGCTGGATCCGATGGCGATGAGACCTGGTCCGGCCATGCTGCAGAAACTCTTCAGATGCAGTGCGTCCTGAACGGGAACCGTGGACACGGCGTAGTCCTGTAAAACAGAGTCCGGTCGGGACACACATCAGCACAAAAGCATTTAGGCTCTGACTGAAGAAACATTCGCTCATAAAAACAGAATGAAAATATTGTGTACTCCGAATAAACTACAAGCGCATTGGCTCAGCGGGTAAACAAAGGGGAAAAAACGGTTCGCTTATTGGAAAAAGACACCTAAAGCGCTCCAGACCTTGGAAGGAGGAGAAAATGCGCTCAGAGATTCTTGAGGAGAGAACAAGGCAACGTTTTTGTGGAAAGTATGGATGTATTTACAAACACTGCTGTCTGTTGTACTATGAACACGTTCGATAAAGCAGCTCTGCTTTCACTTTAGCGACCCGGGTGACTTTGCGCTGGTTAAGAGTTTCCATAAAGCTTCGGCATGTGAATGATAAGGAGCTGCAGGCATCCTTGAGCTCGTTTGCCACTCGTTACGAACTTGTGACGTTAGAAGCATCTGTGACATTAGCAAAGAATGTTCCCTTCTTACGACCGGTGTTTGATTTTCATTCAGAAATCAAAGCCTGCAGCTGACGTGGTTCTCTGTCTGCGGAAGCAGCGCTGCAGAAGATAAACATCCTCAACGGAGCTTAACCTGATCCACATTAAACACTGAGAGACTGAGAATGAAGACAAGACAGACAGACAGAACAATGTTGTGACGTTAGAAGCATCTGTGACATTAGCAAAGAATGTTCCCTTCTTACGACCGGTGTTTGATTTTCATTCAGAAATCAAAGCCTGCAGCTGACGTGGTTCTCTGTCTGCGGAAGCAGCGCTGCAGAAGATAAACATCCTCAACGGAGCTTAACCTGATCCACATTAAACACTGAGAGACTGAGAATGAAGACAAGACAGACAGACAGAACAATGTATAGACAGATATATAGACAAACAGATTGACAGACAGATGTACAGACAGACAGACAGATAGACGTATAGACAAATACATAGACAAACAGATGGACAGACAGATATATAGACAGATGGATAGAGAGATATATAGACAGACAGGCAGATAGATAGACAGATATACAGACCGATGTACAGACAAATGCATAGACAAACAGATGGACAGATATATAGACAGACAGATAGAGAGATATACAGACAGACAAATGGATAGACAGATATATAGACCAATGTATTGACAGATATATAGACAAACAGATTGACAGACAGATATATAGACAGATGGATAGAGAGATATATAGACAGACAGACAGATGGATAGACAGATATACAGACAGATGTACAGACAGACAGATAGACGTATAGACAAATACATAGACAAACAGATGGACAGACAGATATATAGACAGATGGATAGAGATACAGACAGACAGATGGACAGACAAATATATAGACAGATGGATAGAGAGATATATAGACACACAGACAGATATATAGACAGACAGATAGAGAGATATATAGACAAACAGATGGACAGACAGATATATAGACAGACAGACAGATAGAAAGATATATAGACAAACAGATGAACAGACAGATAGAGAGATATATAGACAGACAAATATATAGACAGACAGATAGAGAGATATATAGACAGACAGATGGACAGACAAATATATAGACAGATGGATAGAGAGATATATAGACAGACAGACAGAACAATGTATAGACAGATATATAGACAAACAGATATATAGACAGATGGATAGAGAGATATATAGACAGACAGGCAGATGGATAGACAGATATACAGATCGATGTATAGACAGATAAATAGACAAACAGATGGACAGACAGATATATAGACAGATGGATATACAGACAGACAAATGGATAGACAGATATATAGACCAATGTATTAACAGATATATAGACAAACAGATTGACAGACAGATATATAGACAGATGGATAGAGAGATATATAGACAGAAAGGCAGATGGATAGACAGATATACAGACCGATGTATAGACAAATACATAGACAAACAGATGGACAGACAGATAGAGAGTTACAGTATATAGACAGACAGATGGACAGACAAATATATAGACAGACGGATAGAGATATATATAGACAGACAGATGGACAGACAAATATATAGACAGAAGGATAGACAGATATATAGACAGACAGGCAGACGGATAGAGAGATATACAGACCGATGTATAGACAGATATATACACAAACAGATGGAAAGACAGATATATAGACAGATATGATATCAAACACCACTGCCTCTTTTCGTTTCCATTAAACCTAGGCTATTAATACACTCTAAAAGATGCTGGGTTATTTTTTTAACCCAAATGCTGGGTTCAGCCTGTTGGGTAATTTTATTGGGTTGTTTTTAATAGTTTTACCCAGGTGCTGGGTAATTTTAACGCTGGTTTTTTTTCTACCTAACCGCTGGGTTGACCCTGTCTCCAGTAAAACTTCTCAACAACGCAGCTGCTGAGAGCACGGGCTTTTTCAGTCCACAGGAGAGAGCGGTTCTCAGCGCCACCGCCGCCGATTTGGTGCACTCTTTCCAGGAAATAAAGGTTTGTATACATTTTATTTCATTTATGAAGTCTTCAATGTGGTGAAAATTGTATTATTTTAAGCAGCGCAACAGAAGAACGAGATGTCAGTCAGCAGCGGTCATTTCATTCTGGAAACGCCTTTGCCTTGCATAACATAAATGGATTTTATTCGTTATAATACTGAGTGTAATTTAATTTGATGTTAAAATACGTTCTCTAATCTCAGTACTGTTTGTGTATGGGCAGGGTTTGGGGTCAGTCGTGGCATCTCTCAGCTACGAGTGAAACGCGAGGCCGCGGTCTAAAGTTCGCAGTTCCCCGGCGAACAGCAGCCCTTCACCAGCTCAGATTTCGGCGACACGCCGGCACGAGAATTAGCACTATTTCGGTAAAAAGTGATTACAGAGAACGGCTGAATACACTTAAATTAAAATGCTACTTTTAAATGTGCCTTTTTTATTTCTAAAATGCTTGTTAAACGAGTTTAAATGTAT